GATTGATTGATTGATTGATTGATTGATTGATTGATTGATTGATTGATTGATTGATTGATTACCACTACAGCTAGTCAACGTCTAGGTTTCCTTTTTTGGCAGATGGGAAGAGGACGACGTTGAGACCTTCCAAAAACAGGAAGACAAAAAACCCAGGTCAGAACAGGAAACAGTTCCTTGGTTGACACTACAGCTCCCAGCATCCCCCAGCTGGCATGATGGGAGTTGTAGTCCAGAAGGTAAGGTCTCCACACTGTGGTGCAGACAGACTCAAAGGAACTGGGTTCTGCAGGATCTCATGACGTACTGGCCCACGGGTCCTCGTCCAGCAGCCTAAACCTCTCAGCACTCTCAAGCCAATGTTCCTGGTACAGAAAGACATCGGAGTATTTCAACAGTATCATGTCTGTTCCCAAAGGCAGACCTGTTTGGAGAAACGCTTCTCGGTTACCAGGGTGTGTTGCAGTTGTGGGTCAATGTCATGTACCGAACCCCCAGCTCATAAAACATCCTCAGAGTTGCGAGGCTGCTGTCGATGGAGTGCCCGCCTTCGATCCCGATCAGAGAGGCCGTCTTCTTGCCGTCCGTGTTCTCAATGCCTGGATTTTCAACAGAAAGACCGGTTGTAATCGAAGCGGGCCGAGGAATGCACTGAATCCCTCTGGCTACGTGGCTTTGCTCTTTCACTTCGGGCACGCGTGAAGCGTTCCGCTTTTGGAGCAGACGTGGGAAACGTTCTGGACGTTGAATGACAACATCCAGAATGCTGGAGGCAGTTGCTTTCGTGGCTGGGTTATTCCAGGAATTTTAGCAGGGAGGGAGAGAAGAAAGAAGTTTTTCAAAACTAAGAGGGCAACCAGCTAAAGTTTTTATACTGCAATCTATCCGCTTCTGTTAAAAAACAAACAAACACAGGTTTTTAAACACCATCATGTTCTACTTGAAATTTTTCTGTGTTTCCCTACTTTATCGTTCACTGTTCTTTTCTACAAGGCAAAACCAAAAATCATCTATTACAGAGGAAAAGAAGGAAGCGTCTGAAGCATGTACAGCAAAATGTTGCAGTGTCAAGTGCTTTGAGTTAAGACTTCAGCCACACGTGGACCTTTGTAGGATATGTCGTTACATTTCTCCTTCCTGTCCAGTATTGTGCTGTTTTTTTGTTGTGCTGTTTTGGTTTCTTTTCCCTTCACTGAGTAAAAGCAGGCCTATCAGAGAATGAACTGCTGCAATTTTTAGGCACAGGATTTCCATTCCCCCCTTCCCCCAGTAAAGCTACCAGAATTCAGCAGGAATTAGGAACCAGTAGTTTTTTTTAAGAAGTTCTTTCTACAGAGCCTCATAAACAGAGAGACTACTGGCCCCTAATCCTTTGCAGTTGTCATGGAGCTTAGAAAGCTCCACCGGGACCCGACACCCTGCTGTCGTGACTATCGCTGGAGAGAGAGAGAGAGAGAGAGAGAGAGAGAGAGAGAGAGCCTTGGCAAAGAGCTGGTGTGTACCCTGAACCTCCTCTGAAAACTTGCATATAAAAAATATTATTATTATTATTATTTTGCTAAATGTTACAGAACTTCATATGGGGGGGGAGACT